CTCAGGCCACATTTTACGAACTATGTGAACGCCTTCTTGGACTGGCGCGGTGCGGGCAAGTCCCGATCCAGCTTCTCTGTGAATGCCGGCGTGGGCGTCACCATCCACACGGACCGGTACAACTTGGAGGGAAGTATGAACTCACTGATCACCTTCGGGGAGCACTCCGGTGGTTGACTCTGGGCCGAGGACGCTTGCCAGCTAGTGGGAGGAACTCCTGGGGAGGTGAGCTCTCGAGTATCTCCCTCGGGTCGGCTACTTCATGGACGGGCGACGAGTACGTTCCAGCAGATGGTGTCCTTCGACGCCCATTACTACCACGAGGTGGAGCCCTGGAAAGGACATCGCTACAGCGTGGCATGCTGGACTACGTCGGCAGTGACCAAGGTGGACAACCGAACGCGGAGGCGACTTCGGACTCTTGGCTTCCGGCTTGGGCAGCATGGGAGAGATGCTGTGCTACCCAGGTCCTCCGACGTCCCGCAAGGACTTTGCGAGGCTGTTCTCGAAGCATGCGCCAGGCAAATGGGCGGCAGGCTCGCGAGCGATAGCCCATCCTTCCCGGCTCTTCCATCTACGCCGGCGGACGAGGAGAATGACGAGGCGCTCGAGAGAGAGGAAGTTCTGCCTGATCCCCAAGGAGAAGAGTGAGTCCCACTACGGGTGTCTGAGAGCCAAAAACGGCTGGTTCACAAGGTGCACATCAATGTCGGACACCCCCCGAAGGCAAGGTTCCTAAGAATGATGCGGGCTGCCGGAGCACTACCGCATGTACTACAATTCATCCGGGACGAATACGTCTGCGACCAATGCTCCATCCGGCAGCGGCCGGATCATCGCCACCGAGCTCATTGCCCACGGAACTATGAGTTCAATCGCACCCTGTCCATCGACGTCTTCTACGTTAAGTTTGGCGCCTATCAGGTCCCCATCCTGAACATGACGGACACTGGGACATGCTACCAGGTGCTCCAGAGGCTGCCGATTGCGGCCGGCAGCAGCGGAGGGACACCTACTTCTGAAGCTACCTGGAGGGCATTCTTGGCCACTTGGGTGCGATTCTTTGGCCCTCCGGAAGTCCTGGTATGCGACGCTGGGTCAGAGTTCAAGGCTCACTTTGAGCGAGGTTGTGAGACCCAGGGCATCCTTCAGCATGTCGTTTTACCTGAAAATCCATGGAAAAATGCCATCAGTGAACGCCACGGCGGCTTCATCAAGCACCGCTTGGACCAAGAGCTATCATCAGGACGCTGCATTCTGCAGTCCTGGGAGGACTTAGATGACTACCTTCATGAGATGGCGTCAGTCAAAAATAGGTGGGTGAGTCGTGGGGGCGTGGCCCCTACGCAACTCGTCTTTGGGAAATTACCCCGGATCCCAGGCGACCTCCTGAGCGACGACCATACCGGCCTTATGGCGCTCCAGGACGCTTTAGAAGATCCGATGGGCACAGACCAAGCTGCGACAGAATTCCGAAGACGACTTGAAATCCGCGAACGAGCACGCCAGGCTACCATTGCCCAGGCGTCGCGCGAAGCAGTCCAACGAGCCGTGAAGACCTCCACCCACCAGTCCCGGAGGTTCTACGT